TTACTTGAACATTTATTTGGTAAGTAAAACAATCCATTTCCTCTGTGACCATGTAGCCAGAGTTTTTGTGAATATTTGGGGTCTGTTTGGAAGAGGGGATCTTGGCTACAGCAGCTGGGGGCTTCATTAGCAGGAACAAAATAAAAGCTTTTAAAAAGAGTCTGGAGTTCAGGTGACTGTTTGAATCCACTGTTTTTCCTGATAACCTGCAGCTAGGAGGGAAGATTTCACTTCCTGTTTACCCTCAACCAGGGGAGAAATGTTCAGGGCATTGTCACTTGCTTCTACACCTTTAACTGGGTTTGTTTGGATCTTAGGACTCTGGGTAGGAGGTCTGCTTCTTGTAAGTTAATGCAACTGCTTGTTCTTAGAGTCACAGAGCCCTACAAACATGGGGGGCAGGGAGCTAACTGTTGGTGTGTGTGTGGGCATGGGGGTGTCAGTACTTAGTTTTAGGGTTACTTAAACGTAGTGCAAAATCCCATCCACCACCAAACTTGATTTCATTCAGGACTCAACTGATCAACAGAGTTGGCCTTTTTCCACACCTGACCCACACATCTGTAAGCATGCTGGCCTGACTTGGATTTATCTGTCTTTTTCTACTTTTCCCCTGATCTCTGGATGCTGTAGCTAGAATTTAAAAGTGAAAAAACGTCCACTTTTGCTTACCGTTACCTTTAGAATTCCCTTGGAAATTCATTCCATACATTTCCAGCTGGAAGACCAATTCAGCAGGATTTTAAGTGCTAGAAATATATTCAGTATCTGTGTTATGCCAACTTGATGAAGTCAGTTAATCTTTTTTTCTTTTTAAAGTAGTGTCCAGCCACCCAACTTTTGACAGCAGTTGGATGAAGGTGCATTGAATAAGGAGAAATGCACCAGATTCTAATTTGAAGTCTAAGGTGGGCCAGCATCTTAGAGTCAAAGTGCAGAGGGTGGTGATATTTTATATGGAACAGCCCGCCCCCAACTTAAGTTCAGACACTTAGCTATTTTCTTTGTTCTTATCTCCTTGCTCTAAATGGAAATTTCATATAGAGCTTCTCATGGTCTCCCTAGAAGCAATATCTAATCACAAGACACCTGGTTTGGTGCCTTCAGTGTTTGCATAATACTTTGTTTGTTGGGCTGCAAGGAGACTTAAGGACAGAACATTTGTCCTCTGAAAGCTTCCATTAAAATGGCTTCCACGGGTTTGGAAAGCTAAGACCTGTTTTCAAGTGTGCTGCCCCAGCACCTTCCCAGCCCTTGTATCAAGCTGGTCACTTTTCCTCTGGTACTGTGGCCATCACCAAGCACATTTCAGTTAAAAGTTAATTGCTTTTCAAAGTAGCCCTTATTTCCCAGTTCCTAAAGGGAAGGAATGTCTGCATTGCAGCAGGACGAGGTAGAGACAGCATTGTGGGCCCACGGAGCATCCCAATGGGCTTCCTCTCTCTCGCTCTTGAACCAATAGACTGAGAGGAAAGGTTAAAGATTGACAATTGCAGTGGCCAGACTGAGAAGGGGTGTTCTGGAAATTTCTACTACCATCTTTGTTCCTTTCAGGAAAAGCAGCTCCTCAGGCTGAAGAGTCCTACATTTCATTCCTCGGGCATCCTCCTTCCTCCCCCCTTGCTTCTCTCATCAAGGTAGAATGTTCTTCTGCCACATTGGTAAATTGCAGAGGGAGGAACATAATGATGGGCTGATTTCCTTTTTTCTTCTGCCTCCTCCGTCCCCAAAGAGAATGACAGCTGCACGGAACAAACACAGACACACTGGAGCTTTTGATTCCTTTTTTTTCCCTCCAATACCCTCCAGGATGGATGCACTTTCTGCTTTGGGAAATTAAGTGGTATTCACGTGGGGGAGGGGGAGGAGAAAGCATCGGCTTTTATTAGCTCCAGAAAATGGTCAGTGTTCAGTCTGTAACTAGGAATTAATTACATGTAATCACTCAGTAAACTTTCTTCAGAGTTTTTCTAATTGCTGAGCATGAACATAGTGAGGCCCTTGGAGCCAAGTCCAGCTACTTTTGTAATTAAGAGCTCAAAGATTTGAGTCAGAAAGAAAGAAACAATGAGGGTCTCTTGGTTATAAATTAGGGATGAAAACAATAGTCATTTTCCTTTCTTTCTTGTAACCACTTTTCTTTTAAACAAAACATCCCCCTTTTCTTTCCCTGAAAAAGCCAGTAGGGATCTTAGAAGTAGAAGACTGAGTCACTCTTTAGAAAGCTGGGTGACAATAACCTAGCAAAACCTACAGGAAGGGGTGGGTTTTGGAAGGACCAGCCACTTCCAATGGGTAACCTTCTTTGTTTCTTCAGCCTTCTCTCCCCTTCTGTCCTCTGGCAGAGGCAGCCAAACATTAGTCAGCCCTGGATCTTGTTTTGCCTCTGGTTGACTCTGAAAAGAAAGATACATTCAAGGGGGCCTTCCCCACCCTGCAGCAGAGACCTGAAAGCTGGCCTGTTTGGAGGCCCCAAGTTGTTCTTAAAATGCACAAACAAGTAAGTATTCACCCTTGGCCTCAGGTTGCTGCACTGGGGCTGCCCTTCCCCCCACCCCTTGCTCTCCTTACAGACAAACAAGCAGGCAGTGGCCATGCCAGCTCTGCAGCCTGAGCCTGCCAGGCTGGCCCTCCCCATCATGGTCACCTACCTACCTACCGGCCGGCACTGAGCTAGTGCCCATCCTCATCCTCGCCCTGGCTTGGCTCTGGGCTCTGTGCCCTCTTTCTCCCCTGGAGCAAAAAAGCAGTCACCTTGAAACTCCTCATTCCCAGCTCTGGAGGAATCCTGAGGCCAATTCTCAGACCTTAACAGTAAATGACATTATCTACCATGAGGCTATTAGTTTGGCCTCTGAAAATGGGTTTTGAAAAACCTATTGCTCATTCTCAGGGCCCTGTTGGGGGTGGACAAAAACCTAATTTGTGAGTATCCTGTTCCTTGGAGAGGGGAACTTGGGACTTAAGTTTTCTCTTTTGCAGACTGGGGTTGTCTTTCCTTGATGTTAACATCTTAGGGGTGGCTCTGCAGAGGGCTGGGTGGATGGTGGCCATTTTCAGGCTTATAAACAGCCTTTTAATTTTACCTTGGCCTCAGCCTGGGGTGCAGCCCTCCAGCCTAGCTCTGCAGATGCCTGCTGTTCCGGAAGCACTTTCATTTTACCTAATTTGCAGGATGGATGCAGAGCTGGCCGCCCTGCACTGAGAAGGGGGAGTGGGCTTCTACCCACCCCCACCCTGCCCCCACCCCCAGCCTGCTCCCTGGGAACATTTCCTGTTTGCACAGACACCTGTCTGTCTGCCAGTGTGATTCCTAACCTTCCACCCACCTAGTTCCAGGGCAAGAAGGCCCCATCCCAGAGCCTCCTGTTGAAGGCTCAGAATGTGAAAGGGAAGGCTTTTCCTCAGGAACATGCAACTTCACAAACTCTCTCTCTCTGTCATTGCAGGTTCTGTTTTTTTAAGCTTCTAAGCATTGGGTTGTTGGTGTCCTTTGGTCGAGCTTTTCCTGGTTCTGATATTTAGGAAGGTGGCTTTGAAACTAGCAGGGCTGCTTAGATATAGGCTCAGCTATTGAACAAACTGCTACCATTTTAGCTTCAATCCAGGAATTAGGCAGTGTTGCCAGATGCCATTTTAAGAATCCTGCATAAATAGCTTAGCCACCGATGACTGTTGTGTTATTGTATGTTAGTGAGGTGTTTAAATTTAGCAGGCTTCTCTCTTCTGACGAAAACCATTTGTGACAACACATCAGTTGTTTCTTTGGTTATCTGTGTCACTGGCTTCTCTACAGATGCTGTGTAAATTAATTTGTTAATGGGGTCCAATATCGGAATGCTAAATGTGTTAATATCCTGATTTAAACCCAGACCAGCCTCCTCCTCCTCCTCTGCTGGGACTAGTTAGTGGAGGCCCAGAGCTTCTGTAATTTAATCCTGAGCTATCATCTTTTCCTTTCTGTCTGCCGCCCATCCTGAACTCTTCTCCCAGCAAACCTGGGGCACTTCTAAACACGTCTCCATCCTACACTGAGGTTCCAGGCCCAGGCCGCCTTTCTGGAATCTTTTGCCTTGTCACTGTCTTAGACAGCCCGACAGAGACAGGATGTTCTTCTCTAGCCTTCTTCCTGCCCTGGTTTCAGTCTTCCCAAAGGAAAACTCCAGCCCTGTCAGTTGGCAATGCACCTCTTGCTCCTTGTGGAACTGTGGTCTGATGGAATCACATTCTGAGTGGTGGCTGAGTGGAAAGTTCTAGCACCTCAAGCCCTTCTTCACACCTATAAACTCATGACTTCACTTCTTCCCTGGGCTTGGCTTGGGAGGTGGTATGGGGGGAAGATCTGGAATGGCCCAAGTTCCAGCAGAGAGGAAGAAGGTTCTGGAAGACTTTCCAGCTAAGGGTGCTTGCTTACCTTCCTTCTCTCCCCATCGCTGACTCTTGGCAGGGTCTTTCCTCATTCCACTTTTGTGGGGGAGGATAATTAGTCACAGCTCCAGAGGGAGCCAAGCCTTCTCTACAAGGACGCACCATGGGGGGCTGGCTCCCTAATTTGTGGAGTCGATGCTGATTGTTGGAATTGTTTTGCAACCAGCTCTTTCTTCTTCTAGTCAGTCTGAGCATATTTTACTACTTTGTAATTTAACCTGTATCTTTTTCCCCCTCCTTGTGTTCCTGCCTCATCAGAGAATTGTAAGATTTTAGCGGTTTGGGAAATACTCACTGCAGAGTTTAGAGATGAAACTCTGGGAACTCTGCGAACCCTTCCTGCTGCCTGACTTTGAACCCAGTGCTGGCAGTGAGAAGCTTGTTCATTTGAAGGCTGGGTTCTCATGAGCCCAAAGGAGTAGGTTGTAATTGTGTATCCAAAAAGATTTGCTTCTTTGCATACCCAATAGCATGACAACTGGAATAGTAATTTGACTTAAAAAACCATCTAGTGTTTTAAAGGAGTCCTTTAGGAATCTTAACACTGTGAAATCAGGGTTGTTCTTTCCCCTATGGTGGAGAGGGATGGGGGCTTGTCTTACCGATGGGCTGTGGCTAGGCTTCTCAGTGGCTGCCCCAAGGCAGGTTCTATCCCTCCTAAACATGAACATAATTTGCTCTATTTCAGCTTGGCTGAAGAGGAAATAAAAACAGAACAGGAGGTGGTAAAGGGCATGGATATTTCTACTCGCTCCAAAGGTGAGTAAAATTCTTGCATTATCTATTTCTGCACAAAGGAAGGAATGGGGGTTTCTTTTTATTGTTGGGGAGCCGTGAAGTATGGCCCTCTGAGCTGGCATTGCAACAGTCCGTGAATTGTGAGATGTGGACCCTTTAATGACTGAACCTAACTTCTGGAGAAATCTTTTGATTATCTTTCCCCTGCATGTATGCTTAGGTGTACCTACTTGTCAGGAATTTTCCCGACATTAGGTTTTGGGCATGTGTTGGGCCTGGAGATGGGCAGCTGCTGCTGGATTCCTGATTTTAGCAACAAGCCTCTTTGGGATCTCAGAAGTGGGATGAAGTTGGCCTGGTGCCTTGGGAAATGGTGGTCTTGGGTCAGAGATGAGAAGGAAGATCTGGGCTTTCTGGAATGTTGGGGGCAGTGTTTGCATTTAGGGCAAATTGTGGCACATTTGGGCACATCCAGGCCCCATCTACCTGTGGAGACGCCTCTTCTGGTCCTATAAGCATGGGGACCTCTTCTCTTCATCTCACGCCTGGGTTCTCCTGACTCGTCATCAGGTGGCAGCCCCTCTGCTGCCTGAGTGACTGCTTTGGGTGACCATGGCCTCTCCCTGCTGGAGCTAGGAGGATGTTAAAAAGCATCTCTTTTTTGCTGGCCCCTCCACCGACCTGCCAGCACCCTCCGTTCCAGTCTGAAGTCCCTGTGCCCTGCCTCCTGGGACAGCCTTGCTCCCTTCCTCTTGTGACATCCTATTCTCCTTGGGCCATTTCTCCCGACTCCACTCTACCTCTCTGGCCTCCTTCTGTGCCCTCCTTGGGGCTTGTGTGCCCTCTTTCTGGAACACGCTGCCCTAGGACCTGGCTGCTTGTGTCTTGTTGCTTGGATTCCTCCCCGAGGGTGACTTTTCTCGGCCACCTGGTCTGAAGGAGTCATTCCTTCATTTTCTGTTGTTTTTTGAAATAAACTTTTTTGTGTTTTAGAGTCACTTTAGATTTCCAGAAAAGTTGTAAAGACAGTGCTGAGAATTCCCACGTCACCCGGCTTGTGAGCCCACCCCACCCTGCTCCTAGCATCCTGAGTGCGAAGCATTTGTCAGAATCCGAGTCGGGGTGGCATGTCATTACCAACAAAGCCTTTGCTGTGTTCAGATTTCTTAGTTTAGCCACTGAGGCCCCTTTCTGTTCCAGGCTCCCATCCGCCATACTTGGTTGTCTTATCTCCTCAGGCTCCTGGCTGTGACAGATTTTCAGCCTTGTTTTCGATGACCTTTACAGTTTTGAGGCATGGGCCAGGCATTTGGTAGGTTTCCCCTTGCCTGGGTTCATGTGGGGTGTCTCAGGATGGATGGTGAGTTGATAACCTCAGGATTGACATGAGGAGTTTTGGGGAGAAGAACCCCCCAGGTACAGTGCCATTTCCATCACATTAAGGGTGCCTGTTATCAGTGACTTATATCAGTGCTGATGTTGACCTTGGCCATCTGGCCTTGGTGACAGTTCCTTTGCTGTTCATGTGGTGTCCTTTGGAAGGAGGTTGCAAGGCCCCAGCCACACTTAGAGTGGGAGGCCCACTCCACCTACTGAGGGTGGAGGATCTCAGGAAATTATTTGGAGCTTTTCTGTGTGGGAGGTTTATTTTCTTCTGCCCTGTTTATTTGTTTATTTAATCCTTTATGTGAGTGTGAATTTAAGGATAATTGGTTTATACTTTGGGTTGTAATACAATGCTAATTATCTATTTTATTGCACATTGTTCCCATTTTGGAAGTTGAATCCCTCTTCCCCATAATTGGGGATTGAACCCAGGACCCCTCTACCACTGAGCTACATCCATATCCCTTTTTATTTTTTTTTATTTTGAGATAGGGTCTCACTAAGTAGTGGAGGCTGGCCTTGAACTTGAGATCCCCCTGCCTCAGCTGCCTGAGTAGCTGGAGTTACAGCATATGCCACCTCACCTAGATCTGTTTTTTTTTCTTTTTCTTTTTTTTTTCTTAATTGGAGAATGGTATTAGAAATCAAGATCTGGGGCTGGGGGCATAGCTCAGTTGGTAGAGTGCTTGCCTCACATGCACAAGGCCCTGGGTTCAATCTCAGCACCAAAAAGAAAAAGAAATCAAGATCTGTGTGCTGGGCATGCTCATGGTTCCTGGGTGTCTGTGCTTCTAGGTTCTCTGATTGACAGCAGGGAAACATTTACCTGTGTGGTCACCAGGGCATAGGCACCTGTCTGTCCATATTCCTGCATGTACCCATCTGTGTTAGCTAAATGTAAGACCATGAGATCCTGCACTTGACTCCATACTTTCCTATTCCTGCACAGATCAGCTCTAGCCTCATCCCCTTAGTTGAAATCTCCCCCTTCAGCAGTGAGAAAGGTGGCTCCTGCTGTCTGTCCTTGGTGTACCATGTCCTGGTGCACAGTTAACCTGATCTGTGACATACAGCTTGACGAATGACCGAGCGAACACTTGGGGCTATGACTCAGGTCAAGATAATTGAGCATCCTCAGCATCCAGAAGGTTCCTTGATCGCTCTGATATTGCTTTCATACTGTATTTGTTGGTTTTTGTGCCAGAATGTGGATGCCTTTTTTAGAAGGGCCTGGGCCTCCATGCTCACTCCTCCTCTCCCTTCGGGGGTCAGGAACTGCAGTTTCAAAAGCCAAACTCCTCCAGCCAGATCCCCTGGTTCTGGGTTGCCTCCTCCCTAGTTCAGTATTTATTCTTTGTGGCTCGGTTTCCCCACCTGGGGATGACAAGGATATAGGGTTAGTGCTGAGGTGAAGTTGCCCACCTGTAGAGTGCTCAGAGTGGAGCTGGGCCGTGGTGAGGGCTGAGGGGCTGGCCACCATTGGAACAGGCTTGCAGAGGCGGGTATGTCCAGGTGGCTGCCAGGGCAGGTCCTCCTCACTGTTCTGCTCTCCCCGCATCTTCAGCCTCTGGGAAGAGGGTGTGCAGGGAGATGGGAAAACGGTATCCAGACTGACCCCTGCTCAACAGGGAAGGATCATGTAGGGTGGCCCCGCAGAGGGCTTGGGACCTCTGTCTAGAACCCGACCCCGGGCACCGCCCTGCACCTGCCTGTCCTGCGGCCCCCACGGCTGTGGGAGAGAGCTGCTCTGCAGCTGTTTGGGATGAGCTCCCAGGTGCTCTGTACTTTTCTTGGGTTGGGAGTCCCTGGAGGGGCTCACCTTGTTTTGAGGGCGACCTTCCTCTTTACTGGGCGTTTCATGGAGGCTGTCCCTGGGCAGAGCTGAGTGCTCTTTCCTGGGGAGGGTGGCTGTGGTGGTGGCTTTTGTGTCCAGGACACCTTTCTCACAAAACCACTGGCACCAGGTGAGGTAGTGACACATGTAGTGACCTGGGCTTGACTGGGTTGCTGAGACTTCAAGATCCCAAGTCTGTATGCACAAAGGTGTCATTTGTTTTTTCTGTACCAGAGATTGAACCCAGGGACGCTTACCCATCGAGCCTCACCGCCAGCTCTTGGTATTTTATTTAGAGATAGGGTCTCACTGAGCTGCTTAGAGCTGTACTACACTAAGTGGTTGAGGCTGGCTTTAAACTTGGGATCCCATCCTTCAGCTTCCTGAGCAGCGGGGACTTCAGGTGTGCACCACCGTGCTTAGCCAGTGGGACATGTTTAAAAGTGGACAGGACGGCTATGGAGTCTGATCTCTCTTTAGCTCCAGTTACCTCTGAGTTTGTGGCACAGGGCTCATGACTCAGTGAATGCTGGCTACTCCTCCAGCCTGCTTTTCCGTTTGGGAAAGTCAGTTCTTTGGTCCCACATGAAACTTCCCATCTGTGTTCTTTGGTTATGAGCCATGGAAGCCAGCTCTCATTTATTTGGATAGGAAGATGGTCAGCGGGCTCCCAGGAAGGCCAGTGGTCCAGGTGGCTCTGGGGAGTGGAATCACTCTGTGCCTCTCAGGAGCAAACTGCGACTATGTGTCATGTGTCTGTCCTTTGGTTAGGGAAGGGGCCCACCAACACCATCCCCTCCAGGGAAGAGAGAGTTCTCAAAAGGAGTGGAAGAGACCACCTTGGCATGTGGGGAAGCTGGCAGCGGTACTCTGCTGGCAGTTAGAAAACAGTCCTGGGCCGTGCTCTACTTGGGAACCTTGGACACTGGTGATTAGCCCAGAATTCTTTCCTCTTTCTCCAATGTCTGCTCCTTACAACCTTCCAGGTTATCTGACTGGATTTCCTTCTGCGTCCTCTGCCCAGCGAGCTCACCTGTTAACCAAGTCCCAAGTCACCCTTTCCATTATGCCAGCCTTGGCATTTTTCAGAGTGTTAACTTCTCAGAATACAAAGCTTTCAGGTTTTCAAGATGACACTGGACATTCATGTCCAAGGAAATGTCATCTAGATGCCAGGGGCGTTTGGGGGGCTCATGTTTTGTGAGTACTTACTGGGCTCACAAAAAATTTGCAGATGACCACATTTGGTTCTATGATAAAGGCTTTGGTGTAGGTATGCTGTCCCTGTTTTGTAGTGAAGGAAATCGAGGCTCCTATGAGCTGACAAGAGCACTGTGGTCAGACTTTATCTTTGGCTTTAAGCCTTTCACTTAACCATGGACCATATCCAAGGATTCTGAGTTAAATACGTGTAGGGCCCAGCAAGTAGGTCAGTGGCATGTGGGATTCTGGGGACTTCTGTGAATGTGGGTGCGTCCATTTCATTGTTGACCCCTAGGGATATGGCCTACCTGGTTTAGAAATGTGGTAAAAGAGAGAGGAGAGATGTAATCTAGGTACACCAGCTTTTCAAAGACTGTGGATGAATTTAACGAAACATCTTGAGACGGAAGTGGCCGAGGACTGTCAGTTTGCATTCTCTGTGTTGGGTTGGTCACAGCAGAGTTCTTGCAGGACTTTGGGCATCCTATGTGTGAGTCAGGACAAGCCCCTGGAAGGTCTGGCTCTAGAAGCTTGAAGAGTGATGGGTGTGGGTTGAGTCCTATCTCTGTACAGGAGGCACAGTCCTGCCATGCACCAT